TTTATGGTTTGCCTCATCAGGTTCTCTCCTTCTAAGAGAACTTGGTCTGCCTCTGCTTCTACCAAAATTTGGTGGCAAAGGAGGGATGTACAAACTTTTCCCCCATAAAGATTCACCACTCAAAGGCATTATGGCTGGTCCATAAACCTTTTTATAAACCTCAACTGAGTAGCAATGGTCTACATAGTCCAGTGGATCCCTTTTTTGGTGGAGAATGGCTCTCATGGCATGTGAACATGGTATACCACTCAATCCCCATGCTCTACAACTGCATTTCATCTTGTCAAGAGCCACAGAATATTGATCTCCATGTGAACATGTGATTTGGTAGTTGTTGTCATCTGCCTTTATGGGGATGCAATCAGACACCTTCTCCAAATGCTTCTCATAGATCTGTTGAATTTTGGGGCACAACCTGCCTTGCCACTTTGCAGCTGCCTTGTCCCTGTTTTGTTGTAGCCTCCTCATCAAATACTCTCTTATCCATTCTAGCATAGTGATTATAGGTTTCTCTCTTGCATCCAAAATGTTTGAATTGAAAGACTCACAAACATTGTTAAGGACCATATCACATTTAGGAAATTCAGTGAAATGTGACTTAGACCACTCAGAGGGTGGTTTCTCATGGAACCATTCCCAGGCCTCTTGACTAAATTCCTTCATTTCCATCATCCTCAATTTTAATTCCCCTTCCGTTGTTGCTTGAGCTGCCCTCCATAGGGCAGTCTTAAAACTAAGACCCCTGAAACCAGCATTTTTGAAATTTCTGTGGAGGTGTCTAACACAGAATCTATGGGGGCTGGATGGGAAAACTTCTTTAAAAGCTTGAATAAGACCCTTCTGTTTGTCACTCATGAATGTCATCTCCTCTTCTTTTTCAATCTCAAGGTCTGACTTTAGTACAGTTAGAAACCATGACCAAGTCTCTCTTGTTTCCCCTCTCACTATGGCATATGCTATGGGGTAGAGATTGTTGTTGGGGTCAACTCCTACTGCAGTTAACAAAATACCCCCATGAGGACCCTTCAGGTGACACCCATCTACCCCAATTATAGGCCTGCAACCCCCCTTGAAACCTTCTTTCAAAGCACCAAAACAACAATAGAATTTGCTAAACCTAAGTTCACCATTTTCAGACTCAGTGTCTAAGATCACTGTGCTTCCAGGGTTTTTTTGCCTAACCTCTTCTGCATAATCCCATAGCTTAGTGTATTGCACAGATGGATCA